TCTTCGTGAAAAAAACCAAGATAAAACAACCCGTGGTTGGCGAATGGTAGAAACGGTTGGTTGTCGTCTGCCTTTGAAGGGCAGGGCATTCCCAGGGATCCCTCGCTACTTCGGCATTGGCTGCGAACACCAACTGTTTGCATTTGCAGCCACGCGCCCGCCAGCTTTTGTGCTGTCCTACCTCTCCGCACCTGCCCTTCCGCTCACTGGGGAAGAGATTCAAGCAGGAACACCCCGTCCAACAAGATGCGGGTGGGACGTTGAACACGCCCTGCCTGGGCTCAAAGATGGGAGTTTTACTACAGACTTCAGTGTAAACAGACTAAGCCAGTGCTGAAAACTCAACCTAAATGATTACTTTGTTACATGACCTGACACTTTGATTTTCAGTTCAGTCACTGATTGCATTTTTAGAGTAACAGGGCGTTTTTTTAAGCCACAGTAGTAGGAGAGGTACTAGTTTTCAGTAACTCAGAGAGGGGAGCGTGAACATGGAGTTATTCTTTCAGAGAACAACCTGGTGGTCATTGACTCCAGTGGTGAAGGGCAGCTGTGAAGTAGTTTAAGTTGTAAAACCCTTCTGCCCTTCTTCCATTCACACTTTATAGAATCACGGAATGGTTTGGGTCAGAAGGGACCTTAAAGACCATCCAGTTCCAACCCCCCTGCCATGGGCAGGGACACCTTCCACTAGACCAGGTTGCTCCAAGCCTCATCCAGCCTGGCATTGAACACTTCCAGGGATGGGGCATCCACAGCTTCTCTGGGCAACCTGTGCCAGTGCCTCACCACCCCCTCCGGGACGAATTTCTTCCTGATATCCAATCTAAACCTCCTGCTTTCAATTTAAACCCGTTACCCCTTGTCCTGTCACTACAGGCCCTTGTAGAAAGTCCTCTCCCAGCTTCCTTGTAGCCCCTTCAGGCACTGGAAGGTGCTATAAGGTCTCCCCGGAGCCTTCTCTTCTCCAGGCTGAACAAGCCCAACTGTCAGCCTCCCTGCAAAAACAAAGTGTCCCTTCTCATGACACCAGACCCAACTTACCTGAAACCAGTGCTGATCACCATTCCCCCACTGCCTTTTTAGACGAGCTGTTACTGGTTTGAATGGCAGCGGGAAGCTTCAGCTCTGTCCTGTCTCAGCTCAGAGTATTTCCCTGTTTGTCCCTCAGGTAAAACATCTCGTTTTGTTGGGAGAGATGAATATTCATTTCCACGCTACTGGCAGTTTTGTATGCCGATAACATTCCCTCTTGGCATCTCTTCTTTGCAAGGCTCTGCCCATGGACTGTGCTCTCTTGTTTTCATTTTGAGTCCGATGTCCCCACGCGGCACCAATTTCAGCGCCTTGGAACCCAACCTCCTTCTGTCCTTAGCAGCACCACCTCGTTCTGCCGCACACAGAATTGCAGAGATGGCCAGAAACTGGTCAGAAGGGAAAATCCCCCAAACTGGGAAAACGCAGTGAAAAGTCACATGTGACCACACAGAGTTAATCTCAATTCCAGAACGTCAGGTTATGGTCAAACTAGAGACCACTTTTTTTTTCTGGGGAGCAAAGATTTCCTGCCAAATTTCACATGCAAGGGTGGAAACTCCACAAACCCTCTGAGCAACCTGTGCCCACAGACTCGGTCACTCTCACAGTGAAGGTGTTTCCTGATGTTCAGAGGGAAACTCCCATCCTTTGGTTTGCATCCATTGCTTCTGGTCCTGACGCTGGGCACCAGCTGGAAAGAGGCTGGATTTGTCCTCTTTGCACCCTCCCTTCGGGTGTTGATGCACACTGATGAGGTCGGTCAGTCCCAGCTCTCTCAGCCTCTCCTCACAGGGGAGATGCTCCAGTCCCTTCACCATCTTAGTGTCCCTTTGCTGGACTTTATCCAGTAGCTTCATCCCGCTCTTGTCGTGAAAGGCCCGAACTGGGCACAGTTGGGAAAACAAGTTGCATATTCCTCTCTGACTGTGATTTCCTCAGCCAGCATAAGACAAACCTCCTTTCTCCCCTACATCTTTTTTGGGTCAGATACAACCCTTTTTGTGCATCCAGCCATCCACCTTCTTATCAGCAACCAACCCCACGCAGAGGGAACACATTCCTCCTTTTCCCAGTGCTGGAGGTACCTCCTGCTGGAGGTACTCCCTCTGAGGCAAAGCGCAGCCGTCACTTTGGCTGTGCTAAGAGGGAACGTGCTGACACTCGGGTCTTGGCCTCGAGGTTGAGGGGACGAGGTGGGGAGGCCACCTGGGCTCCGCTGTAGAGAGGGTGCTGACAGCGGAGCGCACTGGTGTCACCACTGGGGTTTATTACCTGTTACGCTGGCTGAGGTTTAGCCCCTTGGTTTGGGGCTCAGATTTGGTTTTCAGCAACTAAAAAGGAAATAAAAGGACCAGGCAACAGGGATCCCTTTTTGTGCGGGTCTAGGAGACAGAAGACATTGAGACTGCTCCCCTAACACGTCAGAACAGGAAGGCAGGGATTTTAACTCGCCCAACATCAAATCCTTCTTGTTTCATTTGAGGGGTAAAGGAATTACTGTTGAACTCAGAGACACCTATTTTCCCTTCACAGCTCTGCATGACAGCTCTTAAGCAAAGGGACTCAGTTCTTTTCCTGCTTCACTTTCAGCTTAGAATCATAGAATGATAGAATCACTGGGTTGGAAAAGACCTCAGAGATCATCCAGTCCAACCGTATCTGTCCACCACTAAACCATATCTCTCAGCACCTCATCCACCCGTCTCTTAAACACATCCAGGGATGGTGACTCCACCACCTCCCTGGGCAGCCTGTTCCAGTGTGTGATAACCCTCTCAGTGAAGAACTTATAAGAGCTTATATCCCCTTCTACGCCAAGACCAGTCTGTCCTGAGGCTGCAGGGTAAGGGAATGTTCAGGTTACATTCCGCTAACCCTGCAGGTAGTTTGGTTGGAAAGAACAGCAAGGGAAATTTTGCACAATGGATTTGCATGCCCAACATCCACCCATCACCAGCAACACCAAACCCACAACTGCTTGGAAGAGAAGGGCAGGTGGCCAGGAGTTTATTGCAGAGCAGTCCAAACACACCTCGCTCCCAAATCCGTCTCCTTTGAAACCGATTCCTCACCTTTCCTTGAATGTTAGATGTTCAAAAGGAGTAGGCGTTGACCCAGGGGCAGATCCTCAGCTTGCCAACTCCACCCCTCCATTGGTGTAAGCGCAGTCCACAGCCGAGTCCCGGGCTTGTTGCAAAGGCTTACATTCTCCTTGGGAACAGAGCGCTGAACAGGGATTAAAGTTCACTTTGGTGCTCCCATGTTTCTGCCACCGCGGGAGATATACTCTCTGCACAGCAAAGCAAGTCAGGTCTTCGGCCAAAAGGCCCTGAGCCCAAGGTAATGTGGAACAGCGTACTCCAGCAAAGTTTCATCCATCTTCTCCAGCTGGAATGAAATATTGGCAGGCGACGTGCTCATCTTGCATAGCTCCGTCAGCCAAGAACACTTCGGTCATCAGAAAACATGCACAAGGTGTAATGGAAAAGCCTTCCATGAGGAAACGAGCATCTAGCTTCCAGGAGAGAAAGTGGGAGGATTTAGAAAACAATTAACATGCAGGCTGGAGAAAGAATCTTTTCAGCGCTGTGTGAGATATGTTTGAAAATATGCTTTAAAATATGCTGCCTAGAGGGGAACCAACAACGGGCTGTACAGCCAGGAAAGCCAAGGTGGCATCATGTCAGAGAAGTGACTGCAGAGTGCTTAAGCATGGTTTATAGGATGTTTTAAGAGAATTTCCTCTGGAAATCCATGGCAGTCCCAGGAGATGTACACAGAAGTCCACTCACCCTTTCCTGCGGCAGCTCACCGGTCTAGAATTAACGCCATGGATTGTGATAACCTTTCTGTTCCCTCAAAAGTGAATTACTGCCGGGCAAACACAGAAGCAGCTTTATTTTCTTCTGGCGTCATCACTCAAGGGAAAACACATCTCTAGGTAGCATTGTGCTCTGCAGCGGTAAATATCACAGCCTGCCCACTTTAGAGGGGAGGAGTGAAGTCCAAAGTGGGGCAAGACTGAGCAGCACTGAGGGGCTGTGTCACAGCAGCTACAGGCCACAAGACCTGCTTAAACAGGAGATGGAGGGAAGCCCCAGGTTTGGTCTGCACTTCTGTTCTCTACACCAGTTTCTTCGAGGCGCATCCGCAATAGCGCGCCAGAAAGTGAAATGGGTTAAAGGAACAGAGAAGGTCCCTTTGGAAAAAAAGGGGTTGGTTTGTTTGTTTATTTATCTTGACAACATCCTTCTAAAAAGGGAATTTTGGTCAATCCAGGTTTTTAAATACTTTTTATTTTGAAAAGAAACCGTCAGATATGACAACAGGACAGTGGGTGTCGTTCACCAATATCAGTTTCTGGTCTATAGAGGGAATGAATAAAAACCACCAACATTTTAAAAAATAAATATGACTAACCATATGGAAAACGAAATTCACCTTTGACAACACAGACAGGTATAAACGCTGAAATGTTACTGCGCGAGGTAGAGGTAAACCAGACTTTTCAGAACCAGACCAGTTGTAGATCTGCTCCCCCGCCACGCACACAATCCCACAAGTTCCTGTTGCCAGTAATTTAATTTGAATCAGCCTGTCAGCCTCATCAAACTCAAACGGGTCTGTGTGCTCCTTGTAATGCTCTGAGCCGGAAAACTATTTCAGCTTTTGTAGAAATTAGTTGCTAAGCAACCTGGCCCCCTGGTTTCGCGACTTGTGCAGCAAGGAAAGAGGCAGGAAGCTGGATTTTAGTAGATGGTAGAGCCCTTTTAGGAATTGCAACGGTCCATCAGCTCCTGGGCGATGCAGCCGGACAACACGCAACGCCGCACCTGGAGTTCCTCCACTGAAGGGAGCGTGGTCAGCAGAAACATCCCAAATCAACGGATACTCGCTGCGGGGAGAGCCGATTGCCTTATACGGTATGTGGATACCGAAAACTCGCATGGCAGGACACAACCCAGGCACCCTCTGTCCGAAGCAGCAAGTATCTTGACATAGTGAGATAGAAAAACTAAAAATTGCACCGCACACGGATTTCCCAAATAAACTCAAGACAACGAAAGTCAGATCGTACCCACCATTGGTTAAAAAAATACCTTCTTGTGTATTTTGTGAATAAGTGGAAAGAGTCTTCGTGCAAACGTTCAGCCTTGATCAAGCAGAGGACGTAAGGTCGTCGTAAACACATTGGTTCCTTCCTCATCTGCCGGATGTGCCCAGCGTTACCTAACTTCTGCAGTATGATTAGGGTTAGGAAATCTGTTTCTTCTGTAAATATCACCTTTCAAGTTCCACTGATGTACCATCAAGACACTACCGGTGTCATATCCCACAGCTGTTAATACAATAAAATATAACAATAGTGAATAATGGTAAAAGACAATAAAATATCGTATATAATGTCATCTCTAGATAATTGGCACTTTTTTTTTTTGGTGCTTAAGAGAGGCTACAGGGATACAGCAAGTCTGAAGAAGTTTGGTTTTTCAGCACTGGTGGAGGCCGAGCAAATGACACTCTCTACGTCACTGTGCGTGGCGCTGTGTCACTATGAGCCAGGTTCATAGCTGGCCTTCAGACAAACAACCAACCCCCACGCTATCCTGCTAACCCGGATGCTCATCCTAGTCATAACACAATGCGAGGGGTTTTTTAAATTATTCAAGCTTTGTTATACATCTGTTCATTATTTTAGCTATTTCTTGACCCAGGTGCACAAACTGAGATTCGCCATGTGAAAATACAGTTTGTCTTCCCAGAGGAAAAGCTACAGTGAGCACTCGCTCCAGCCCCTTCGGGCAGTAACTTCAAGGCCCAAGACCTCCTTGGTCCTTACTGGGCAGATGTCCATCGGCGAGAGGCCTCGGGGTGGAAGAAAGCAGGTAGGACATACACGGGAGAGGGAGGGAAAATGCAATGCAGGAGTTAGAGCAACCTCCTCGCTCCTACCTTAATAACCTTGTCTGTCCCCGAGGTCAGCAGCCATCCCCGGGTGGCATCAAAGTGTACGTGAACGATGTTGTGCTTGCTGTCGTGGAAGGTAGCGGTGGGCGCCCGCCTGAAGAGAGAAGTCCAAAGAATCAGCACTGTGCCTGCAGGATTTTCCCCCAAAACGCTCTCTATCAAGGAAAAATATTTGAATGCAGCTGTAAATCGTTAATTCAGAAAACTCTCTGTAAACTCCACTTTGAGACCTTTCTGGCACAGGAGGAACGGGGGTGGAGGGCTCTATCCCTCCTGGCTTGGTTGGCAGTGCAAAGCCTTATCTTGCTGGAAGAGCCTAGGGACCACCCCGCTGGGCTTCTCCCTCTCGGAGCCTCCCACCTGCCCAGGCCCTCCCCGACGCAGGAGTTTTGCCCCGCTCCGGTGCAAGCCGGCTCCGTGCCCACGCTTACTCTTCATCGGTTATGGACTCATGACAGCTGTCGCAGACCCTCACTTCGAACTCGAACCCCATCAGCGGGATGGAGGAGCGCTTGGAGCTGCATTTGCCGCACACCGCTTTCCCACACTTCCGGCAGTGATGCTGTAGGAGACAACAGGCGGAAAGACATCTTCAGGCACAATCCCAGAGCACTGCTCAGGTCCCACTGGCTCTACCACCTCGCGCCAGCAAGATCCAGCCAAGGCAAACAGACAAGTGACTCTTCCAGGGAAGATGAAGGAAAACAGGCAAGGACTTCAAAATAAATGGGGAAAAATTTAAAAAATCTCACTTTTCTTCCCCTCTTCCACTACTTGGGACACCGGGAAGTGGCAGATAAAGCACTACCCAGGCTAGGTGGACTCTACCCCCCTCCCAAGCTCCACGGTGACACCATACACCACCCAGTAAATCACTGCTGCTCCGCCACTTGGCATCTGTGGATGTAGCTGTGGGTCAGGGCTTCTACACTGAGTGTGACCCCTGTCACAGGGGGGTTTCCACAGGGCAGTAGGTGGAAGAAGGAAGTCCAAGCTGTCCTCTTTTCACTAGCAGAGCTAGAGATGGGAGGACAGAACAAAGAGCCATGCTATGCACCCAGTATGATGTCTCCCAGCCAGCTGGGCATCGGCTGTAATTATCCCTGTCCCTGGGAGTCTCACTTTGGAATGACACCGTCACTCAGCGGCACGTGACACATTAGGACATCTCCAGGTCGAGGTAGGACAGGGCTACATCAGCAAAGGGTCATTCTGGAGCCCCATCCCGGCCTCTTAAGTGTAAACATCTACCGCCTAATCGTAATCGTCTCGGTCAACTCTTTTGCCCATTTTCAGCCCCAGAAGCACTAGTGTTTCTGCATTTTGATGCCACCCGCCTCGTGTTTCCTCACGCACTGGCTGCGTGGGACCGTGAGACTGTGGGGCAGCCACAGGACAGCCAGGCTCTGCAGTGACGAGTGTTATATAAAGACAAGATGCAGCTCAGCTCTGTCCCAGGCACCTGACTTCTCCAGGCTCCATGAAAACATTCCTTTCAGCATCTTTACACCCCTTTCCCA